GTGACCTTTGGGCAGAAGGGCCCACCGCCCCGGTCCCGAATGGCGCAGCCCGCCGGGGGGGGTTTGCTGTCGCGGCCTCAGAGGAGCCCCTTCGCCTCTCCGGTAGTGGAGCAGGAGCGTCCTTCTGCCCGGTCATCGCCCCTCCAGCTGGGCACTCTGAACAGCATCCCACCGCCTCCTTTCACTCTCCTGCCCTGAGCTGCTGCTTCTCTGGGAATTGACGAGCTATTGAGCCGGTTTGGACTGTTCCCACAGGGAACTTCAATTCAGTCCGTTCCAGATCAGTAGAGATGTCAGATCAGTGGAGGGTCCCCTCCTGCTGAGGCAACGTCAGCCCGTGTTTGGGGAGGCTCAATCTCAGCCAAAGGAGGAAACGCTTGAACCCTGGCAGCTAGCAAAATGCTGGAGCTAGTGGAAGCGGGAGATACCCATTTATGAGAGGGATGCAGAGATCAGAGGAGGCTTATCTATGGTCTCACCCTGGTGTCCTCTCAAGGCAGGGTCCCATCCTGCCTGGGCGGGGTGAAACAGGTCAAGCCTGCCCAGACTTGCACTCCAGAGCTGAGTCCGCTCCCAGCCCCTGGAAGCTCTGCTTGGCCCATTGGGAGGGAAGGACTAGCTCCTCAGGTAACCTGAGCGATTCTAAATACTTGCTCTGCCAAGGGCCCTGAATACAATGGTTTGACCATGCAGCTCTTATTCCCAGAGCAGTCTCATAGCTGTGTTGCATCTATTTTTGTGGATCCCCAAGGAATGTTCCTCCAGCCATTTCTAGCAAATTAGTCACAGTGACAGCCGAGGAGTGCTCTGGGAATGGTGTACTTAGCAGAAACACTCAGCTGTTCAGACTTGTACAACTGTACAAGATGATTAGTGGCCATTTACATATTGCATTTTCCTAGTAAATTGTTACTTTTTTCCCTATGGCAAAGCATAGTACTTGGAAATCCTTGGCGGAGGAGATAATTAGGCAGGGACATGATTGGCAAATAGACTGATTTTTTTTTTCCTTTCTACTTCTGTAAAGTATTGTCCATTGCTCTTCTTACCCACCAGTAAATCTCCTTTCCTGCACTATGCCTTACACTTAAGAATTCTTCCTGTGTGCAGCATGCCCTCCTTTTTGACAGTTGTACTCTGCTTATTAAAGTTATTCCTCAAAGCCCAGCAATACACACAGTGTGTGTATATATATCCTTGGAGGACATCAAGAACTAATTACACCAGATGCAACTGATATTAAACAGCACTGTAAGTCAAGTCAGCGTCACAGGAATGATAAAGATGGGCCACCTCATAACCCTAAACAAAAAGGCTAGCTCTGCTTGCTGGAAGAGAGGCACAAGCTTAAACTCTGCTATATGGCAAATACAAATATTGGTCTCTATTTTAATATAACAAGCAGTCAGTCCCACTGAAGCATCGTGGAGTTAGTGTTCATACCAAGGCGTTTATCAGTTTACAGCTCAGTGGCAGAGTCTCGGCACAGGTCTTTTGTGTCTGTACACAAAGACCCTGTATGAGCCAAAGCAAATAACGTGCCATCTCTGGGCTGCGGTGCAGTCTGTATAGCAGACACTGACCTACTGCCCAACCTGCTGTAATGACATGTTAGTCGCATCAGGGGACTAATACGTTCAGTATTCCTGCTAGGACTGCTACACGATGAAAGCAGGCTGAAATGTGATTCAGGCTGCCCTCACTCCCTGCTTCTCATATCGTTGTTTCTCAGTTCCCTGCTACCTTGGGTAATAAACACAGACAGCAGAACAACCAGACAGCTAGGTCTGAGAATTGACTGCTCATTAGTTGTAAGCATTATTGACTTGCAACTTTTCTGCTGCATTTTTCCAAAGACCACGTGAACTGAACAGCTCTCACCAGAGCTGGGTGTGTGATGACCACTGGCCTTTGGAGCCCTTCTAAAAGCACAGGACCAAGCGCCTTCCCAGAGCAACTCCTTGCATGACGGTAGATTTACACAAATTGGCCTCACTGTTTTTATGATATAAATCATGGGCATAAGGCACCTTGTCCTTGTACTTTGCCTGTTGGTTTGATGTCTGGGGATTATTTTTTTTTATGTTCAAGTTTCTCAGTTGTTAGGCTTAACTTGCAGTTTCTGTCTGGCTCTTATTCTTAAGAAGCCCTTTCTTCTGGTTCTGTAGAACCTCTTACCCACCTAAGCTGGAGGCCACCATCACCGCAGGTAGCTAGAGACATTTTCAAGTGCGATGGGAGACGTGGGTTTGAATCCACTCAGACAGGAGATGGATGTGAACCTTAGTCTCCAATGAAGCTACTTACACCAGAATTTTAAAAATCACTTCTCAGAGAAGAAACAAGGTAGAGGCTAGTCAGCTAAAAAGGAGAAGAGGGTGGTAGTGTTTGCTCTGCTTGATTTGTCTCATTATGTGAAATCAATTTTGGAAAAGTAGTCTGTAATTTGTAGTGCAGCAACCTTCCTTTCTCCTACCCCTTCCCAAAGCCAACTGCATATAAACTTGGTAGTCCAAAGGCTGGTTTTATTTCTTGGAGGCTATTTCCTGCTGAAACTTTTGTCCAGGGAAGCAGTCACTGCCACTGCCTCCTGAATGGGGGCAAGTAGTTCTTGGGGATGTAGATGACTGTCTGTTAGTTAAAGGCCCTTACGGCTTTTTTAACAAAGGGGTTTTTGTACAAGACCTCCTGCTGGTCATGCTGACTTGATCAGGATTTGCCCCCTGGAATGTCATGTTTCCTTATAGAGAGCACTTAAGCAAAGCAAACGAACTCCTCACACACTGCCTCCTGAATGGGGGCAAGTAGTTCTTGGGGATGTAGATGACTGTCTGTTAGTTAAAGGCCCTTACGGCTTTTTTAACAAAGGGGTTTTTGTACAAGACCTCCTGCTGGTCATGCTGACTTGATCAGGATTTGCCCCCTGGAATGTCATGTTTCCTTATAGAGAGCACTTAAGCAAAGCAAACGAACTCCTCACACCTTTTCTTACATAGGTGTTCCTGGACTTTTGTACAATTCCCTGGCATTTAACTGCTGACTGGCAAGTCCAGTGCCTGCAGTGGGAAACTGAAAACCTGATTAGATAGTCAGCTGTTAATGCCTCCAAACTCCAAGGGACTGCGGAGTTTAAACCCGTATGGGACGGTGTCTTCCTCCTGCATTTTCCTGACAGAGATAGGTTGACATGCAGAGCCAGGAGGAATACAGGGTAGAGGCATGTGAGCTTCCCTGCCCCTGGCGAATGTCCGCAGTGGCAGAATGAATTATTTCATGAGCCTACTGTTGTATTGCTGACATTCATGTTTTTCCCATCCCAGCAAAAACTCTGGAAACGTCCTCAGCTGTGTGTCTGCTGAGGGATCAGCTCTGTTGACAGCATTTGCTTTCTTTGTAAATGCTCAATTCCCTCTGCTCTTCAGAGACAAACAAACAGGAAAAAGATGTTGCTCCGTGTGTCTATAAGCCAGCCGGGTTCTCTTTGATTCATTAGCCACTGCAGTGATCTCTGTGGGCACAAGGCTTTTCAGTTGCTTTCCATCACGACTCCATCCTCGCTACAGTCAGCCACATTTACAAACTGCAGGAAAATTACTTTGTTTTGGTGTTGCCTGTGGGAACAGGAGCAGGAGTAGCAACCATCTGCCCTCCTTAGGATGCTCTGCATGCAAACTCAACTTTTCCAGACCCTGCTTCCTTGACAAATATTAAGTATTTTTAGCTGCTCAGTTGTCTTCATCCTAACTTCTGTTTTTTTCCCTGCTGTCTCTAAAGCCATAGGACACACTGTTTTCAAGTCAGTTAGCTGTTCCTGGTTATCTGCAATAGTGATTTCAATACCAGCACCTTCAGCATGGTATCTAAATGCCTCCGATGGAGTGATTTTTCATTAAGTTTTGCAAGTATTACTGGTACCAGAGTCAAGCAATGGAATTCCTGCATAGAAATATGAACTGCTCCATGCCACATGCCCGGCCTGAGCCAACTGCCCTCTGCAGATAGCTTTTATGCTGACTCTTCAATTTCATTACCTTTTAATTGTGAAATATGACCATATAGGGAAAACCTAACACAGTTCACTGATTGCCCAGTTGGCTACAGGTATTTCATTTATCATTCACTGGCAGATTTCTAACCTCGGACTTGTCTGTTCATGTTCTTAGGACCATCAAACAGTGAAGGAGCTGGCAAAGTCAGCCTCTTGAAGAAAGTACCAGCACTAAAGGATGGAGACTTCACCCTAGCAGAATGGTAAAAACTCAGTCCTTAGAATTCCTTGGGTATCAGTAATTCATGCAGCATTTAGGAGAAGTCATTCCTGAATTAAGGATCACAGAATTTATGAGCATGTTGGTTATTTTTAATAGTATAACCTCATTTGCTCTGTTTCCATTTTCTGTTTGAATTATCTTTCAGAATATAAACAAATCAGCTGACTTAAGTTCTTGATCTTACCATGAATGCACTTACCTTAAAATGGGATTATAAACATTTCTGCGAAAAGCTTATAAAAATCCTTTTTACCCTAGGAAAAAAAAATTCCTTTTACCCTAGGAAAAAATTCTGTTTATCTGAATTAGTCATAAAGGCCAAATGAACACCTACAGAGATAAAATTTAGGTTTTACATTATAAGATTAATATGGAGACTGGTTAATGGTGTCATAATGCTGAAATAATTGAACTATACTAATATCAGCATAGTAGGAGGGTCTGCGTTTTCTTCCGTTTTGTCAGCACAGGATTTTCTGTGGCATCTCTTTTTGTAGTAACAGCCTACATATTGTTGCAGATGACTAAGATATTTTTCCATCTGACCTCTCCTGTCAATTAGTCAAAGTATAAACATCTGGACAAACACAAAAAGATTCTGTAGGCTGTCATTGCTGGGACTTCCACTGACTTCAGTGGAAGCTGGAGGCTAGAGACAGATCTGATGAAAAGGCAACATAACCTATTAGAGAGTTTCATATAGTACACAAGCACATAAACATGCACAGGTCTCAGAGAGATGGGTCAGAAGAGTCAAGGAACAAGTGGGATTAACATTGCTAATAGATGATTATGGAGGTTTATTGTTTGTTTACCACAGTACTGTCCAGCAGTACTCTGCACCATATAACAGTGCTGTGATTTTCCAGCAGGTTAAAGTTTTCATGGGAACTATGGTGATTAAGTGCCATCTCTGATGTCAACATGAATTAAATGCCTATATATGGTCCCTAGACTCCACCGGAAATCCTGATCTGAATGCTTTTTAGTGGAAGCAGCAAGTTCAGAAGGGGCAGGAGAGGGAGCTTAGACAAAAGCATTCTGCATCATAACTCCCTGACCCCTTTCTTGTCTCTTGTAATGTCTGAGCAGCACTGCCATTCTGCTGTATCTGAGTCGAAAGTATAACACTCCCGACCACTGGTACCCATCAGACATACGAAAACGGGCCCAGGTAGATGAATACCTCTCATGGCATCATGCTAACATCCGGGCTAATGCTCCTAAGACCATGTGGATCAAGGTAAGGAGACTGAATATTAAAATGCGAGTAAAGTGATGTTTTCCTGGCAGAATACTGAGCATTTGAACAGCCCCAATTTGGAGAGAGTTTGTCACGCTGAAATAAAAAACCTAGACCATTCCTATCTGAGAGGAGCTCTCAGAGAGGGAGCTGTTCCTAGCTGCTCAACGTCAGGATCTGGCAAAAGCAGCTTTGGTCATATTGTTTTTTTCCTTAAAGTAGGTCTGGTACAGAAGGTCTCAAAGCCCAAGAGACTTCCATTGCCTGGATTTGTGAACGAATATGTAACAGATTAGATATTGCCTCCAAGAGCCTCCCCCTCACTGCACAGCTGTGCAAAGTGTGCACATAGGCAGAAGTTTTGCTTCTTTGGTGACCATGTGCTTTGTTGCTGGAAGCAGAGAGGCTTGCATACTTCATACAACATGTCCCTGCAGCCCCATCAGGGTGGAAATCCAGAGTGAGTCTTCTGCTTCCAGCACACTTAGGTACTTCTCTGAAATGGGCTCAGGGATAGACAGAATAGAGACACAGAGAGAATGGCAGAATTTCTTTATTCAGTGTGGTCAGATCGATTTACATTTAGGCAAAATTAAGAGAATCACCCTGAGGCAGAAAATCATTTAGTATCAGATAATTCTGCTGGACACTGATTCCCAGCCAACTCACCAGACAGTTAATGCAACTATCCTTAGAGAGGCCCAGGTGCAAATAGAGCCCTGCAAGTACAGCTGTGGTATGCAATTTCAGATGAAATCAGGGTTGCCAGTAAACAGGCAAGAACTTCACTCTTCCTTTGGAAAGTTTGCCCTTGTTTGTGCCTAACAAAACATATCAGGACTCATTTAGCTTTTTGATTTATTGACATTTGAATTTTTGGCTAGAGAGCACAGAGAAGCAATTCATACATGAGTCAGATTCATACAAGAAGCAGTTTCTTCCAGTCTCTGCAGGCTGTTATTGCAGTGCTCCAAGGGAAAGAAATCCAACTAATTGCTGCTGCTGATTAGATAACCCAGATACAGAAAAGGTCCTCAGAATAATTAAAATAGGGAAACTTATAAAGCCACCATGTAACAGAAGATACAGAAGAGATACAGAAAAGAGATACAGAAAAGGAAGAACATGCTGTTTCAAGTGATAATACCCAGCGATCCCATCATGCATAATTGGAATCACTTAGGAAGAGAACTGGCCATGAATTTTCTGATGAAATAGATTCCACATGTATTTGACAAAAATCCTGGCTTGGATTAAGCAATTCCAACTTGAATTGTTGAATATACTAGCAGTAAGTAGAAATTCAGTCCACTCCCACCGATGGGAATTTGTATCTTTAATTTTGCTTCTCTAAATAAACTATATTTCTTTAGCTGTGGTAGGTGGAGGCAGCATAGTTGTGAAACACTGCGAGCTCCGATGGTGCGTCCACCTCTGTGAATGGTGAAAAATCTCATGGAAAGGCAACTACCCCCTGTGCCAGCAAGTCCATGGAGACAAGGGCCACACTTATATGATTGCTCTGGAAAAATTTCTAGTGGTTTAAAGAATGATGCTTGGGAGGCCACAGAAAGGCTGGTGTAAAAATGGTGCTTACCCACTCAGCTTTGCTGGCTGCTGTCACGCAGAGGAAGCCATTTCCTGCCTCCCCAGCCAGTGTTGATGCATTCCAGTCCCTCCTACACTCCCTGCCACAGCCACCACCATGCCCTCCTTTCCATCACCCTGCAGGACAGGCAGCTGCCTGCCTGTCTGCAGTTACACAACAGGGTGGATAGCAAGGGTGGGTGGTGGGCAGGCAGCCTGCTGACCCGTCTTGGCAGGCTGTTGAAACGGAGGACATAGCAGGGGTGACTATGGCAGAGATTTGTCCTCCCTGGAGCTGTTGCCTTTTTTTTTCTTTTGTAACCCACCAAGGTGGAGTGGGAGGGCACAACTGCAAGGCACAAAACAAGCTGAATCCTTGGCTTCATTCTGCACATTGCTGCCCATTAGCTGGAGGTTACTGTCATGGCAGATAAGCCGCTTAGGACTGCTTGTGTGCTCTGTCCATGAGCTGCTTGGAACTGCAGCAGTCCCTGAAGCTCTAGCATCATCCCCTCCTGCGGCTTTGCTGCATGGTCACTGACGATCATGAGTAGTTCATGGGGTGTAACTTGACTACCACCAGATCCATGAGAAGATGGCCGACCGTACTCTTAAGTCCCTTCTCTTCTCAGGTGCTGATTCCCCTCTTCACAGGGCAGCCACTGCCCTCCGAGAAGCTCCAGGAGGTTATGGAGGGGCTGTCCACTTCCCTGAAGCAATTTGAGGAGAGGTTTCTGCAGGACAAGGCTTTTATCATCGGGAGCGAGATCTCTCTGGCGGATCTTGTGGCCATTGTGGAACTGATGCAAGTGAGTGCTGGAGTGTGGTAAGGAAGTCTCAGCACAAGGGAAGACAGATGCTGCTGGGCAGGGAGGGGTGCAGCATGTGGTAACACTTCACTAGAACGAGGGGTGAGGGCATATCTCAACAGAACTGGCCTAAGACAATGAGGAGAATATGGGAGTGGGTTCAGAAAACCAGTTAAAAAAAAAAAAAAGCTGGCTGCAAAAGATCTCTTTTGTTTCTCTTCTCTAAAATACTTCTTCTCCTTCATCCTTTATCGTGACTTTGATTTTAACCTCCAGAGAAGGAGCTAATATATAAAAGTGAGAAGCAATAGCAGACAGGTCTGATGAAGTAAGAAAATAATATAGGGATATTTTTATCATACAAGAATATTCTTCTTCAGATGGTACTTGCCTATGCCATGTCTGGAAGATGCAAGACTGAACCTCAGACAGAGGCAATCAAGTCTGTTACAAACTGGTTGTTCTCTGCCAGACTGTCAGGGCCTGGATCCTGCAGTCCAGAAGTGATTCTTTCTCCCAGTTCTGTATCCCAGAGACTGAAAAATAGCAGTTCTGCTTCTCTACAGCATTGTGTTCCAGAGAGTGACACAGGCAGAAAGTAGAAGAGGGGTAGATTATGTCAACTAAGACATTAGTTCAATTAAACGCTTAGCATTTTGTGCTGTGGTTTTGCTATATAATATAGCACTCCATATTGCGGACTGTGCAGTTGTCCCTGGAACTGTCAGCCCACCACGTGTTCAATGCTGTAGCTGAAAATCACTCACAGTAAGTGGTAGTCATCTCCGCTGCTCATAACACCTGTTCCGGCACTCAGGAATTGACTTGTAAATGCCCTTTAAAATATAGGTTAGCTTCTGTGTCCCCCAGATAGATACACCCGACCAGAGAAGATTTCCCTCTTTCCCAGTGCTCTTCTATGAGCTCTTCTTCATTTTTTTTCCTCTACTTGTACCTGCAGGTACACTTTTGGTGCCTGTTATCTTGGTGAAGAAGTGACTGCCTAATGCCTCACTGTTGCTCTCTTCCCCTTTCTGCAGCCTGTTGGAGTTGGTTGCGACATCTTTGAAGACAGACCAAGGCTGATGGAGTGGCGCAGGCGGGTGGAGGATGCTGTGGGGAAAGAGCTTTTCTTCCAAGCCCATGAGATGATCCTCAATATCAAAGAACTGAGCAACATTCAAATTGATCCACAGCTGAAAGAGCATCTGGCACCTGTGTTGATGAAGATGTTGAAATGAATTAACCTATATAACGATTTTCCCTGCCCTTTTTTTTTTTTTAACTTCTCTGACTTCCAGTTCTACATGTAACTGGAAAGAACACTAATTCTAACACAGAAATTGCAGCGTCTTTCCCCCCTGCCAGGCCTTTCCTGTATCTTTGGGGGTGGAAGCTGGGGAAGGTTTAAGGCCTGAAACATTAAATTTAAACAAAAGGCTGAGGCCCTACAGATCACTTAACATGTGTATCTGGGTTTTATTTCAGTGTCGTTCTTCTCAGAGATGGTAGAGACACGAACAGTATTGCCTAACAAAATTTGAGCCAGCCTGCAAAGTGGGAACATTAGAGAACTGTGTAAGAGGAGCATTGTTTTCATGTGTTTTTAACATTTGCAGCTCCTTCTCAAGTGGCAAGCACTGCAAAGCATGCCTGATCCTCACCTTCCCAGCACGTGTCCGCACAGACAAGTATAGCACAAAACTACAGGCAGTCACAAAAGTGAAAAAAGACATTGTTTTTTTTTTTTTACTATTTCAAAGTTTCTTACTGCTGAGGCATCTTGTTTGGATGTCTATGTACCTTCCACACTTCTATTTGCCTTTAGGTTCCTGTGAGAAGTTTCTTCATATTCATCTACAATTGTGAATCTTCATAATTCTTCAGTTTAATCACTACTTTTCAGTTCTGAAAGCCTGGGTTTCGTTGCTTGGTCTGCCAGTACACGTGGCAGGGGCTGTTCTTGCAGATTTGTGCAGTAGAGACCAAGCAACTTCAAAAAGCTGAGGGTGGCCACAGCCTTCGAATAGCTGCCTACCTAAAGTTCTCTGTTGATTATATATAGGGAATACACTGAAAGAATGCATTCACAGTGATTTCTTAAAATATGACAGCAATCAAATTGTTTTTTTCTGCAGGAATACTGTAATAGCAATCCACATTTCTCCTAGAAAATGCAGAGGGGGAATAAATCTAGACATGCTCTTCTGAGACTGTTTTGGATGGAAGTTCACCAAGTAAGTCACCCTGTGCAGCTGAAGTAATAAAGAGAGATTTTGTGGCATTGAGCAACATATGCATCACAATAAAAGGGCAGAGAGTTGTTTTGGAGCTTTTGGGCTCTTTTTCTTGGCTGTGTTTATTTCTGGTTAGCTGTAGCTCAAATACAAAACCCTTTTGTACTGCAGCACAATTTATGAGGTAAAACTGAGAGAATCCAACCATTTCTAGTTTCTTCAGTTGAAAATAGCAAATTGTAAAGGATGCAGAAAGTGGAATATATGTATCTGCATATTTCTGTTCATAAGTAGTTGTTGCCCTTGAACCTTACCCTGAAATCCTTGCCCAAGAACACTTCCTGTAAGGAGTAGGACAAAATGAGTAAATAATTCAGGAATGACTTCTCTTGCTAATCAAATAGCTTCTTTTCTTTCCAGTACTACCATGTCTTTGCTAGTGACATTTCTGCTGGTAAGTTCTATAAAACCTGATGTGTTCTGGTGATGTTTTTCACTAAGGTTTTAGTTCTAGGTACTACTGATTTAGTCCAGAGCGTAGGGAGATCTTTAAATTCCCTGTCTGGAAAGAGATTTCCATTGTATACTTCAGCTTGCATTAGCAGGAAATTTTGTTTTGTGATTATGTTCTCTATAAAGACAAGAGACCTGACTGAAGCTCCTGTCTTTTCATGAACCAAAAATATTAGAAACAGGCACACGTTTATTCCCACCTCTCATTTCTTTTCTTCCCAAATAGTAGCTGAATATGTTTTTATTGATGTTTTATTCACAAAATATTGTCTACAACTGAGTTAAATTTTAAATGGGAAGTGGTTGATTTTTTTTAATAATTTTGAGAGTGGAATTGCTAAGTGGATGATGACACGTGCAAATGTCTGCAGGAGGGGAAAAAAAACTACCATGATTTTCCAAAGGCTGAGCATGTTTGAGAGTACTTGCTGCTGTGCTGTCCTCTCTTGGTTGTATGTTCATCCCCCTACAAGCATTTTAATCGCCTGCTCCAAGACAGAAGTCTTTAGTTTAAAAACTGGGAGGCCGTGAACAATCTGCCATTCACATGGTGAACCATCAAGAGTGAAGGACAATGCATATCATTAAAGATGTTTGTGACAGCCCCATGTCCTGTTGTAATTGCTGACATCTGATACTTGAATCTTCTCTTTTCCTTTTGGAGGCCTTCTGATATGCTGGTTTCTTGTCATGTGGGGTTTTTTGGCCTTGGAATTGGAAGAGATTTTTAGTATTTGAAGGAATGAGAGAGAAATAGAAAAATGGATCCTAAATGGTATCTCACCTGGAGGCAATGACTCCCAGCAATCAGGCAGTGGTAGGCTTGCACCTAAGGTTTGCAAGGTGGCTGAATACCCCCACTGTCTTTGTTTCGATGATGAACTCGGGATCATCTCTTCTATTTACAAGATTCTATCTTTCTGTACATTTACCCTGGATTCTAACAGTTTTCCTGAGTTATTTCTTTTGCTTTCCTAAATTTGAATGGAGCGTTTGTGTTACCGCTTGCCACCGCAAGCACCCACCCCCTGCCAGCCTGCCATCTGGTTGGGTCTCTCTCTTCATAATCTCTCTCCTAGAAATCTTTTTCCAGCCTTATTGCTGGCTGGTTTATACACACTGCTCCTCATGCCAGTATTGTCTTCATTAGCAGCAGTGAAGGCCAAGCAATTCCCCCAGCAAAAAAATGAGCAATTCCATCAGTTTTCATTAGGATTATCTAAAACTAGAAAACCAAAAAGTCACGTTATACAGGGCCAATTTTCACAACAGTGCTATGCCTTAAACAAGATTAGTTGTTTAATCTAGCTAGTTCATAACATTTTGCTGTAAATGAGCCCATGTAACCCTCACTGGACAGTAGCTCAGCTTCTGAGAAACCTCTAATCTGTAGATTAGACACCTCTGATCTCTAGGTTAGATTGTCCCTGTGAGCCAGCTTGCCAGGGTCACTTTTATCAACTTTGGAGCTCAAAGTCCTGATTGCAGAAGCTAGCTTGGTAATTATATATATTGGATAAAACAACAAACCTCTCTGCTTGCCTTTTAATTTCTTGTAGTGCTGGTTGTTCTGAAAAATCACTGCTCTTCCATTCTTAACCCTCCCTGCACAGACAGGCGCAGAGGTGTCTGTTGCAGTGACCAGAAATGTCTTCCCACCAGCGGTAAGGACCATCACAAAACTCATTTTACCCATCCGTCAGTGAGATGTGATTTTTTTGCTCTCACAGTCTCTAATACATATCCCAGCCACGCACATGGTAGAAAACAAAGGGCCCGAAAGCCAGCTGATGCAATTGGGGTAAAACAGAGAAAAGCCAAAGCCCTGGCTGGGGCTGGCACAGGTGGGAGGGCAGGTGCTCCTCATGTTGCTGCCGGAGTCCCGGGAGCTGCGGGGGTGGTGCAAGACCCCAGCTGCTGGCTCCCGCCCCCGCCGGGGCTCCGCTGCCCGGGCCGCTCCGGGGGC